ATACAAATTGAAACATTTCTCAGAAAATCTTTCTCAGAATTTTTCATATATTATAAAATAACTAATTTAAAATATCGTAAGATTTCTAAGATTTTTTGTAAATATGATTTCTGATGAAATGTGTTATAAAATCTAAAAAATTTAAAAATATATTTTTTAAATTATGGGATGAGAAATTTCAGAATATTTCAGAATTCACTTATATAAAAAATTTTGAGAGAAAATGTAAACTTTTCGAATATTTCTAAGTATTTCTGAAAAATGTTCCAATTCCTATAAAAATTATGAGAAAAATTTTCCCCAGGAGGTCATTTTGATTTTTGTTGACTTTTATGTATTCTTGAGGAGACATTTCGATCCTCTCGATGACTGAGTGCAAGAAGAAGATTCACCTAACTTCTCGCTTCTGACGTCATAATTCGATACGGCTGTGGCGTGGTAACGAACGCTCCCCTCCTCCCCCCGGGACTTCCCTTCGGGCGGGAAAAGATCGGTCTATTACTGAAAATCATTTTATTCGTAATAAAATTTTTGTCGCCAGCAGCGGAACGTCGATACGCCAACGCGACGAAGAAATTCAATTATTTTATCGCGACGGCACGTGTTGACACTCGAACGGAGGTGGAAGAACCCCTTCGCCCCCTAAAAGGTGAACGGGCGCGACAATGCATTCCGGGCATTCTTAGCCAGACGTTCGCTTTCTGTTTTTCCACCCTTACTCTCGGATGACTGATGGAACTTGTGATTTTGCAGACACGGGCTGCGAGTCGGCGAGCGAGAACGTGCCGTTGCAGGGCGCCCTGACCTCGGCGGTGCGGACGTCCGTGGGGGTCACCGAGATCTCGCTAACGTCCAGCACCACCAGCAAGACCAATAACGAGCAAGTGGCGCAATTGTAGACTACTTTGGACTACTTTCATCGTGGCTACATGAGACGCAGAGAGACGCACACAGTGACACCGTTGGATGTGCGCGTCTGGAGATTGGAATTAGCAAATTGCTAACATTGATATTCCCACAAATTTCTGTATATTAGATCGCTGGTGAATGAAACGGAATGAAAATATGAAGCTGGTAGCAATATTTACTGTAGGATATATACTAATACTTGCAGTGTACAGTAAAAGTGTATGTAATTTAATCTAAATTATTCTAAGTAAATAGATAACGTTTATTTTAAATAAAAATATTGAACAATGCCTTTAATGTCGCATACTTGGTACGTTGAAATTTTACTTCTTGCACTGAGACAATTTATTACTATAATTATACATTACCATAATTATGATTATTACTGATATATTATAATAATTACTATATATATATTTCTATCAGCAAATATACATATATCTATAATCGAAAATGACTATAATAAATGGTTATTATTACCACAAAAATGGTTATAATTTATAGTAATTGAAACCATTTTTATAGTAATAATTATATAATATTTGTAGTCGTTTTCATTGTCAAATATGTATATTTATTCATAGAACTATACACTAGAAAAATGTTTTGTATTGATTGCACAATCAGAAAGATATAAATCATCAAAGATATAAATCAATACTTGTAGTTAAATTTATCAAACATTCTAATCGCGAGATAACTAGAACATTTTTCTCAATGTAGTTATTATTCCTAATATTATAACAGTAATAACCACAATTACAACAACATGTAATTACAATCACAAAACTTTTCTCTCACTATAAGTAAATAATGTTTATCCCATACTAAATATGACAGCATGGCTTCATTATAAAGACTGCTGTTGGCAGTTTAGAACAATATACAGAAGTCTGTGGATATTTCTCGATTTAATTCTAATTAAGCTGTTATTGATAATCGAACTGAAATTCGAGGGTCTATATCTGCGAAGACGTTGAGCGTCTCGCGACGTGGTTATCATTCGCAGCATCTCTATCGTTAATAAAAAGAAAATGGAGACAGAGATGCAGAAATCATCGGTCGTTATCATATTCGCTGTTGTCGTTATTGTTACTGTTGTCCTTGTGCATAAATTATATATACATATATACACACAAACACACACACACACACACACACACACACTCTCACTCATAAAAAAGACACATATACGTCTACGTGCATTTATCGAGCAAGTGTATATCGTGTGACCCACCAATTCTAGTCGAGCACCTCGTGACTTGTATTATTTCGATTAGGAGCATTCCCGCAGAACAACGAGTCACTATGATATCAAAATGATGTCAGAATGACTCTAAAATGATCGTTAAAAGTCACTTTTCGATCATTTCCGATTTATTTTAATGTCATTTTGATGATATCGTGACTTGTTGTTCTGCTTGAGTTAAAGTTGATCTCGCGTCAACTTCACCTGTTCGTTTAACTCCTAACTTTATTTATTATCGGACGTTTAACAGGCGACACAGCCCCTTCTCTTTCAATCTTTCTGAGAGCGCCTTCCGACGAAGTAATCGTACGCAATGGACAATAAATAAATGTACTTAAAGCGAGCACAATTAACTTACTCCGGAATATCGAGAATATTAATCGGGAATACATTGTTTCCAACTCGACTATTTCTCAACCCCCTCTTTGCCCTCCCAATCCCCTCCCTTCTTTTCTTACGCATTTTGAAGCGATTCGACTCACGAAAAACTGATCGAGTGTTTCGGAAATCGCGCGAAGATTACTTCGAATGTTCATCTCGTTTTGGAAATATATTACTTGTATCTTTCCGCGATACTAATTAAAGAAAGATTCTTTTTATATACATGTAATCATTCTCTTTTCTTCCTTTTTCCTATTACATCGGATTTCCTATTTCACATAAGATTTTTGAAACGTTTGATCAATTTTGTGAATAATCGAAGAAGAGTGTTACTATTATATCGGCGATTAAATCGCCCGACTCTCGCAGCCGTCGAAGTCAAAGCGATATTTAAAAAAGAAGAGAGAGAAAGAAATACTAATATCTTTTCTATTGTAACGAACGCGGCGAGAGAAAAGAGAGAATAGATCGGATCTGGAATAAAACATTATTGAATGGCGTGTCGGAGAGTGTGTGATTCATTCTCACCCGTTATCCATCTTCCCTGAAAACCGATATAAATTCGGCGAGTTCAATTTCCTCCGGACTCTTGGAAGAAAAGTAAACGTTTGCCGCTGCCCTACATTGTCTTTCCTAAGAAATTAGGTGTAACGATCGGTAATCGGCGGACAAAAGCGCAAAACTCGACAATTTCGATGCCAATGGTGATTTTTATAGAATTTCAAGATAGAGATGCGCTAAACAGTTATTTTTCATTAGCCTTATAACAGTTACTGTTACTTCAAAATATTACGGTTATTTAAATAATTATCGGTTATATAAACGATTATTTTTTATAATACCCTACATATTCTAGTCAATAGTCACATTTTTTGGATCATTTCTCATTATTTAAGTCATTTAAGAAATCTATTTTGAAATATTTCATTATTCAAAATATTTGTGCAAACAAATAAATTTATGCACAAATGATCGATGTCAATATAATTATTAATTAATAGCCCAAATTTTTGTGCTATATACGGCCATATTTCAATTAAAAAATATTAATATGATTAAAAAATAAAATATAATAATTGAAAGGAAAAAGAGAAAAAAATCATTTTTAAAATTTTTATTTACTTATAAAATTTAAAATTTAAAAATAACCGTTTAAGGCCCAGTTGCATCAATGTCACTTTGACTTTAAGCGAGACTTAAAACTCTATTTGTCTCGTTTTAAAGCTAAAAAAAGACAGAGACAGAAAGAGTTTTAAATCTCACTTAAAATTAAAATAACATTGATGCAGTCGAGCCTAAATCCGATAACATTAGTTTTCAAATTTGATAACGGTTACTAAAATTATTTCTCAACAACAGATAATGGTTATTCAGTAACAGATAACGAAATAACGCCCATCATTATTTCAAGATGTTTATTCACATCATTATCATTAATTATCAATTTAATTTGCGATTACTATTCATATTGGCGTAGCAAAAAAAGGCCCTCCTTAAGTCTTAAACAACAAAATATTACACATTCACTGTGCTTAATGAGTATTCACAAGATTGATTCACAATTATATAATTTTGGAAAAGAGGAAAGAATTAAAGGTGAAAGTTATAGAACGATTTTCTAAAAATCTCCAAAATGACTAATGTTATAAATTTAAATTTTTCCAGTTCGAAGAATTAGTTCACAATTTAAAAAAAAAAAAGAAAATAAATTAGTAAATTAAATGTGTAATTTTGTAATTTACTTGCTAGTAATTAATTAAAAAATAACAATCTAAAATAAAATAAGTCCAATAATTCATACCACTTGATTACCCGAAATATAATAGATAAAAAATGATAATGGAATCGACATCGAATTGATATCGATTCGATGTTGAAATCATCAGATTGACATTATTATCGATTTTATTATCATTTCTCACTGGGAATAAACTTTAAGATCATTATTAAGTTCGAAGATGCGAATAAGCATTAAAAATTTGGAACTAGTGAGTTATTTTTTTTCAATAAACGCATGATGGTAACAGGTTAATTTTCAAAAATGACTTTCTTCCAAACTTAACTTTTAATTATCATTAAAACGTCATAAAAATTGCAATGTTATTATTAAATTAACTTTTATTATTATAAAAGACGATAAAAGTAATAGCGTTACTTACTTTCTATTCCTATTAAATTATATATTAATTTTTTAATTGTACATCAATTTATAATTTGTAGCACTTTCTAAATGCTCGATTGATTCTTCGAATGACATTCATTCACAATCGTAAACTCTTTGAGTGTCGATCGTACGTTATATTTTGTCAACAGCTCCGCTGTTCCGCTTCGCTTCACTCATAAATATGAACATGCTCCTTCGACCTCACTCGTATCATGAGTCATGATAACTGCCTGCCGATCGGCAACACGAGTATTTCCGAACTTTCGCGATCTGAGTTGTATTCCGGAATTCTCTACATTCTCATTATTGTTTTATATTTCTTCTCGATCGGACGGATCAGCTGATGGCTTTTTCTCTTTCCTGGCGATTGTTGACAGTCGCGCGATTGGTAGGTATTATAAAAATATTATAAAATTACAAAAGTGTGTGACAGTTGCTGGATGTGATAGAATTCTTCTTCTTCTTCGTTAAACTTTAATAGAGATTGCTTCCATATTAAATGTACAGCTGATTTTCAATCTCTCGACACCAAGGAACACACTTCAAGTCGAAAGAAAGTCAAAAGGATTTTATTTTGACGTCTTGAAAGTCAAAATGACGACTTTTGGTTATCAAATGTTACCGTTAAGAATCAAAATAAAGTTATTTTGATTTCTTGTTAACTTCTGTGTGTTCCTTGGGATGTCGCTCCATTATATTGGGCCATCTAAAAAGTATCCGCGGTGTTTTGTCACTAGATAGTGTTGATGGTCAACACATCTAGTGACAAAAAACCGCGAATACTTTTTAGATGGCCCAATATTATTAGAATGCACCACGTGTCGATCGTTGTTATCAACAGGCCGCGCGCCGGTTTGAACTTTGAACACTGACACTGCAACAGTTGAACAGTCACGTTTTGAAAGTGACATTTGCATGACATTATCATAAGAATAAAAAATAAAAAATTCTCTATTAATAGTAGCATTACGTAATTTCAATCATAATTTCTCGCTCAGTAATACAAATGTAACAGTGCAATTATTGACTAATTAATGTGCCCGATAAGTATTTGTAATTGAGCTATGAATTGTATTTATTCAAATTTTTCACATTATGTTTGTATGTTCCTTCAAAACTGTGGGTATTCAAAAATATTTATTCGCAAACATATTAGGATTTTTTTATGAATATTCGAAATGTAAATTAAAAAAGAAAGCGCCAATAAGCAATCGCCTTTTAACTGTAACCAACTTTTTGATGATTCTGAGTGATTAAATAATAATATATTGTTAAATTTTCTCTTTGTAAAATCTGTACTCTTTAGTTGGATCGGGAAAAAAATATAATTATGATAATGAATGGTTCTATTACGTGCATATTATTTTTTTTATTCCTACATGAATGTCGTTTTCTCGAACATAATGTTAATTGGAAAATTGGATCCAACAGAAACATATGAATAACTTAATTGAAAAAAAGAACTTATAAAGTTTAAAGTCTGAATATTATTCCTTTGCCGATTTCACTATTTTTCCGTTATTTTATGCTGACAAAGTAAAAACAGATAATGCAGAATGCGAGTGAATGCGAAATCAAAAGTAGGTATTCATAAAAATATTCATTCAAATCAAACGAAAAGTATTTATTCGTTTCTCGATAAAAAAAAATGTATTTATATTTATATTCATATTATTCATTTATTTGAATTTTGGGCACACATATTTGGACACACTAAGTACATTAAATAATTATTATGTAGGTGCATTGCATTATTTAACATGCATTGCATTATTTATACTGTTGAATGAGAAATTATAACTACAATAATCCACTAATAATTTATTAATTGCAATTATTAAATTATTAGTTAACTCGTGCTGCTATAAAATCATAAGCAAAAATGATCCGAAATGATTATGTAATTCACGGACCAAACTAATTTATGTGATTAATTTTCATTGAATTTGGAACGTTACAGAATTGTTTGAGGTTATATTCGTTTTGCTAGCAAAATAGAAAAATTTTACCGAGTAAATTTGTTCACAGGAACACAGTTGATTTGTTAAAGCAAACAGTTCGTTTATTTAATAAAACAAACAATGTATCCATAGCAAATGTATTTTGCCGTTACAATAAAATCGCGTCGCTGATAAAACGTATGGTCGGTATGAAAATAAACAATATTGGACACTAGAAAATGAAGAAATGGAAGTTTTGTTATATTGAATAATTTGCAATACTAACGAAGCTGTTTCAGTAAATAAAATCGGTTTTCTCAACAAATATTTTTGCCATCTATATAATAACTAAAATTGCCAATGAGAAAATTTATTAAATATTTAATTCATATAAACATCTAAATTTGCTACACATTTAATTTATATAAACATTTAACTATTTTCTGTATCAATAAATCTTTTTTCACTTGGAGAAAATTGGATAGAATATTATTTTTTCTTAATTGAGGGAAAAGTTAACCCGGGAATAGTGACCCAGTTTTTTGCGTAAACGATCGCTGCAATATTTTTTTACACTCCAATAAAAAAATCACTATTATTAACTACATATTGTTGATTGTTCTACAATTTATTAGTATTTAAGAACATTACATATATATGTATGTAGATTTATTTAGTATTTTCTAAAAAAAAGTAAAGAAAAATAAAAAAATAAGTATTGATTTTCAATCAATAAAGAAAACTGGGCTTCATTGATGGGCTTCATTTTCTCGGTGCAAGGATACAAAAATCCCGAGTGATTATTTCTGGGTTAAAGAAAGAAATGTAACAAAAGAGCAGCTTTTAAAACAATAAATCAACAGAAACCGGTAAAGCAATAAATCAACAGAACGAGAGTGAAAGTACATTACTGTAAATACAACAAACTGCCTTCAAAACTATTAAAACCGGAGCACTGTTTGTTCCATTCTAATCGGTTAGAGTATATACTTCAATTAATTATATAAATAATAATTGTTATTTCTATTCTTCACCTTTTTTACTGTGGTCTACTCTATTTTGTCGTATTATTTCACAAGATTTTCTTTAATTTTTAATATCTCGTATTTTTCTTTAGTTTAATTTAATTTACTTCTTATCAGATATGATGTATGTATTTCGCTATTATCCCTCTATAGTTAACGATCAGTGACGGATTAAGCATTTTGCCGCCTCTAGGCACCAACATTTAGCCATTCTCGGACAGAGTTGTTTAAAACTTTTTTTTAAACAAAACATGTTTTAAACATCAGATTAAATTAAACATGCTATTTTTAAAAACAATTTTAAACAAGTGTTTAAAACGTTATTTAAAAAAAATGTATTTTTAATACTATTTAGTAGAGGAGAAGGTGATACTTCAATTACATTTTACACGATAACTTGGTTTACTTAGTTAATAATGAATATTTAAGTTTAAAACTTGACAATTACATTAAAATGTTGTTGAATCGATTCTGGATTCAAAATTACGAAATATTTATTACTTAGGATACTATTAATAAAAATGTGGCGATATTGCATAATCGACGAATCGAAGAGAAACATGGATGGTAATGTAGCCTTCCACAAAAATAGTCTTAAAAAGTTAGTTTTATTTAGAAAATAGTAGTTTGGTTATAAAATTAACAAAAAAGTAGAGTGTATTACATACACGTGTATACATATAACTTGATGTATACAGAGTAAAAGTTTGGAAAATAATGATAAATCTTTTGCATAGAGGCAGAATGAACTAAACTGAGAAGAAAAATCCTCTATCATTTTGCAATTTTCGCAATAATTAACAAGATATTAATTGCTAAAAATTGTCGAAAATTGGCCTTCAATAATTTTTTATTCAAATACTATCAACTTTACAGAAAAACTGCAAGAGACAAAAATTGTTAATTTTCTTCTCATAGAGCTCTAAGAATTTTTTTAGATTTTTTTCAGAATTTTTTAATACTGTTATTTTCTTATGTTAGTAAAAATGAGAAAGTGCAGTACTAAAAAATTCTGAAAAAATTCGTAAAAGTCTACGAAGAAAATAAACAATTTTTGTCTTTTGCAGTTTTTCTGTAAAATTGATAGTATTTGAGTAAAAAAGAGACCAATTTTCGGCAATTTTTATTAATTAATATCTAAAGATATTATCATTATTTAAAGATTTATCATTATTTTTCAAATACCTGTATGTAGGCAGCTCAGCAGTCTATAAAAATATATAACGTAAATTATAGATTAATATTAAAACTACAATTAGTTCAAGGAATAATTATATCTCAACAAAGAAGTCGTGAGTAATCAATACGCATAAAGGACTATATTAGCAAAATGCCATACTATTGTTTAAATTTGCATAACTTAAAATATATACAGTCAAATAAAATGTTAAATAGCAAACGACACTCAAATATATTTATATTCATGTGATAATATGCTCAAGTTTAAGAAAAATGAGGAAGTAGATAATTATAGATTAAAATGTATTTTAGGAACGTTTCAAAATACTTGAAAGTAAAAATGTAGTTTTTTTTTTATTTTAAACATGATTTTTTTTCTGTAAAGCTGTTTAAAACATATATAAAACATTAAAAACATTTTGAACAAAAAAAAACTGAATGTTTATTTTTTAAACACGTTTTTTTATCAACCCTGTCCTCAGATGATTTCATTAATTTATAAATTTGATAAAAGGGAAAATGGATAAAAAAAAAACGATTTATACCTCCACATTAGCTGGTAAAAACATAATCCTTAATGAGTAATATAAACATAATACATTTTTAACTGTATATTTAAAATATCGTTTCTGATGAAAAATATGCTCGGTGTAACTCGTGCAAAAACATTAGATTAACAAATTAAAAATTTATCTCAACTATGTGAAAATTTTCTTCAAAAATTGCCATCCTAGGCAAGTGCCTTATTTGCCTATGCTTGTTAATCCATCACTGCCAACGACGTAATTGTTTTTATTGCTTTTATTGTTGATGAAACTTTTACCGTCGACGAAACTTTTGTTTGCGTAGGCCGAGCGATCGCGCGACCCAATACGACGACTTTTGTCTGTCAGCTCATTCTTGTCTGCCAAAAAAGTAGTACCCTTCAAATTGTCGGACATCGGCGAGGGAATTCGAGACGTCACAGTGAAAGAATGGTACGTGAAAAGTTTGATAAGATCTGCGATAAAATATTTCCTCTCACGATAAATACAGTATATATTAAAAGATGCAACGTTATCCGGCTTTAAATGCGTGGGATCCTTGAAGTTAAATTTCAGCTTTTGAATAATTAGCTTTAAAAAACAATTATTACGTCGACACAATTAACTGAAAATAACAATACCTCATACTTTCAATGTCGACTGGGTAATACTCGTAATTATTTTTTAAAAAGTGGTTCAAGACTTTTTAATAACTCAGTAATTAGCATTTTTTAACCATCCAAAATATTTTCGTCATACTAAATTCGGCGAAACTTCTCCTCAGGTTCGTGAAACCGGGAGATCAGGTGAAGCAGTTCGATGACATCTGTGAGGTGCAGAGCGATAAAGCCTCGGTGACAATCACTAGTCGCTACGATGGCCTCATCAAGACTCTGCACTACAAGATTGACGACGTCGCGTTGGTCGGATCAACGCTGTTGGATTTTGAGGTAGAAGACGACTCAAAAGACGCCGTAAGAGACGATGCTGGCGAGACCGCAAAGAGCGCAGAAAATCAAACGATTGACAATACAGAAAAAAGCGAGAGAAGATCAGATAAGGTGGAATCAGAGGACATCACCTTGAAAGAAGAGAAGGTATTGTCGACCCCAGCGGTGAGGAGGATAGCCAAAGAGAATAACATAAAGCTAACGGATGTAAAAGCGACTGGCAAGGATGGAAGAGTACTCAAGGAAGACATACTGGTACACCTGCAGAACATTTCCACGGATCCGAGAGTTCAGGTGAATGTTCCATCGAGCATGACGGGAAGAATGGTCAATCTTAAAAGATACACGAAACACATGTGGAAAACTATGACGAAATCTTTGGTGAGTCTTCGAGAAGAAATAACTATAATAGAATACAGTTTAACTAATAAATATAATTTTTCAGAGCTTAATTTTTTAGACTTCAATTTTATTTAATTTAATCAGTATCTTATATTCTATTCACTTCGATATTTAGTATTCATTTTATTACTTCTGTATTAATATTCAATGAGATTTTTTTTTATAATACTGTTTGTGAACTTCTCTGTCTCCCATTTTCAATCTCTCAGACTTTTTACAATTAAACAAAATTTAATTATACAATTTCTAATGAAATTTCTTCTTTTTTGTATTCTTTATACAATAACGAATTACGCCGTTTATGAGTTATCTTCGTGCCTTGATATATTAGTAAGTGCTAACATTTTGTGAATTACAATTCACTTCATCAGGAAAAGAAGCAACTTAATACTGAGTCGCTTCTCTAGGATGGCTCCTTTTTATAGTGAAATATAAGAAGGGTAGAAGGGGAAAGGGAAAATCGCTGAGACTGTGATGAAGGCGATTACTTTCGGCCAATTTCGATCAATTTCCGAAAACCGAAGAATGGTCTTTCATTTACAGCCTTTGTCTCTGTTTACATTATCGGGATGTCTCCCTAGAGTCTTTGTCTTTTCCTTAGAAGATATGAGATGGTCGTTTGTGGCGGCTATTGTGGTCAACATCTATATTTGAGTTACATGACCATCCAGCACAAAACCAATAATCGGCAATAAACTCACTTGTATATACAACATATTAGACGAAGTATCTACAGATAAAACTTACATTTAAAACAAGCCTAACAATAAAACGGTCACAACAAAAAGACATAAATAATCACTTACATGCTGAATCATATTATCATCATCCAACATAAAAATAATCAGCAATTATACATAATAAAACATCATGTCAGACAATCAACATCTGTAGACAAAATTTAACCATTTAAAACAACAAAACAGATACGACAAAAATTATAATACAAAAATATAAAGTATACAATCAGTAGACTTACAAATAAGGCAATAAATTCTGACACAAAACTATCAAATGATAAGGCAGACAAGAGAATCTTTTCTAATCTCACATGTAGAAGGAATTGTATCGGCAAAATCTTAAATAAACACAACATCTGAATCAAACCTGCAAAAAAAGATAAGACAAATGAGGAACTGTAAAGACCAAAGATCTCCACTTAGCTTGGCAGGAATATATAAAATATCTTACTTTTGAAAAAAAAAAGTGTATATTGCACTGTTACCAAGTCTGTTCGAAAGTTATCCCTTATATTGGGATTTTCTCTTCGATATTTTTTAGATGTAATTAAAAATTTTTTTTTTGTATTTATTTTCTTCTCCAAAAGTCATCTTGAAATTCTCCTAAACTTTTTGTACCCCTCAAAAAAAAATCTCTCTTCCGGTATAAAAAAAAAACTTCCAAATATTCTACTAAATTGACAACACTAACATTGGGAAAAAGAGAAAATCTAGGATGAAAAGCACAGTAATGTTAAAGCATACTACATAGTGAGCATTATTCTAACATAATATTAAGACAGGACGTGATACTGCTTGATCAAACAATCACAATAGCTATCATCACTTCATATTTTCCAAGAAAATACAGAGAAAATACAGAGAAACATCTCGATAATTTAAACAGAGACAATAGCTATAACATAAATGACACATGAAAAACATCCTCCTGGTTTTAAAAATTGATTGACCAATAATAATCTTACTACAGTCTCAGCAACCTCTCTTTTCTTCTCCCCCTCTTATATTTGAACATCGTATAAAAAAATTCTTCAGAGAAGCGTAGAGAGAACACATAGAAATAGCTTCCAAAGAGAAACACAGGACGAATTAGAAGAAGAGGGAGGAAAAAACGACATAGAAGTGACAGAGAACTTATTACGGTTTTTGACCTCTAAACTGATGAATTCTATATCGAAGATAAATTGTGTCGTATCCGAGTATTTTATTGAATAGATCTTAAATAGTCCTTTTTAATGTATGAAAAGATTCCACATGAAGGAGATTAAAATTCATATCAAATCCACTGTATTCTCTCCTTGTTAATATTAGTATTCTCATCCTGATGAAATAAATTCACAAAATGTTGACATTTAAGGATGTATCAAAAGACGGAAATAATTAATAAACCGCATAACTTTCTTGAAGAAAATACCTGTGGAAGTCTCAAAAGTTATCCATCAGAAAACAACTTTATCTTTACCATGAATTTTTCACAGACAATACCACACTTCGTCTACAGCGATGAGTGCAACGTGGACCAAGTGATGCGCTGTCGAAACGATGTGAAAGACTCCTTGATGGAACAAGGCATCTCTCTAACTCTTACGCCATTCTTCATAAAAGCAGCCTCGCGAGCGTTGCAGCAGTATCCTCAATTAAACGCTTGGCTCGACGAACAGACCCAACAGCTGCAGCTCTTGGACAATCATAATATCGGCATTGCCATGGACACTCCGGACGGCCTAATAGTGCCGAACATCAAGAATGTGCAGAATCTCAGTGTTTTCGCAATCGCGCAAGAGCTGAATAGACTTCAGAAATGCGGCAATTTTACTTTTCGAGTATCCGTTCAATCTTGGCATTCTTCTTCCCATTTTCTTTTTCTTCATCTAAATATTTATTTCCATTGAAATACTGTTCTTTGTGTCGACTTCTAGATTGGTGGAACGTATATGAAACCGGTTATCGTATCACCGCAGGTGATAATAGGTGCATTTGGGAGGGCGCGGAAGTTGCCGCGATTCGACGATGAGGGGAATGTGATTCCAGCCAGCATAATGTCGATTAGCTGGTCCGCAGATCATCGCATCGTTGACGGCATAACGGTGGCTAGATTCTCCAATCTGTGGAAGTACTATGTGGAGAATCCATCGCATCTGATGATCTGCCCTTGAAGCCGTCTATAGATATTTATATACACTAAGGATCCAGATTGGACGTATTATTAATTTCCTACGTATTATTAAAACGAGATTATGAAGATTATGGCGAAATGTTAATATAACGTTGTGATTTTTATATTAATTATTTATATAATCGAAACAAAATCATAAAAGTATAAAGTAATAAACTATTTGATGTCAGAGTCGTTTTCTCATCAAGTAAAACTCATCAAGTTTCGGTACAGGACGAGAAATAAATACTTTCAAATGCCTGACATATCATATAAAATATTAACATAATATGAATACAATAATCGACCTTTTTTGAATAACTAATGTTTCATAAGTTCCATGAAACAACTCGCCTAGTTACATTTATTTGTGCTCCCAATTTAAAATGAGTCAGAATACATACTATTTATACAAAATTCAGTAACCAATTTCAGAATGATTAAGTTTAACGCAAACTGTTGTCGTAAACAGTTTATTTACTAATTCGTAATTTACATTGATAATTTGTCTTTTCACGTGTCTGCACTTACCACGTCTATATTGGACAACATAAAAGTCGTTGCTCAGATCGGTATCGATGACCTACCACACTCCTGAAACCTGTTCAGCTCCTGCGCGATCGCATTGAGATTCATCTTCTTGATATTTAAAACTATTAAGTTATCCAGAGTATCTATGACGACGCCGATATTATTATTGTTCAGAACTTGCAGTTGTTGGCTCTTCGTTGAATCAAGCGTTTAATTGGAGATACTACTCCAATGCTCACGAGGCTGCTTTTATGAAGAACGGCATAAAAGTTAGAAAGATGACCCGTTCCATCAAGAAATCCTTCATATCATTTCGGCAACATATCGCTTGATCCACATTGCATTCATCACTGTAGACGAAGTGCGGTATACTCTGTGAGAAATTCATAGTAAAGATAAAGTTGCTTTCTGATGGATAACTCGTTGGAAGACTTTCACGTATATTTTCTTCAAGGAAGTTACGCGGTTATCTCCGAGTTTTGATACATTGAGTGTATTAATAATGCAGTTGATTTTTATTTTCAATATTTATATAACTGAGACAAAAATCAATAGCGTTATTAACACTTTTGCCATCTCTCTTTTTTCATAATCTCGTTTTAATACGTAGGTGAATCCATCAAAAATAATCATGGCAAAATAAAAAGAAAAAAAATGTATTGTCGGTTTTGTACATAAAAATTGTACATTGGGACCTAGTTTTTTATGTAAATTTAGCTAGGTAGATATTTAGATAGGTAGATATACGTAGGTAGATATGTATATATACGTATATATAGGCTTAAAATTTGTATAAAATTATAATGTTCAGCTTTAAAATTATGTAACTCTTTAAGTTCCAAAGATTTTTCAAGTTGTGTTTCTATCACACTGAAAATCATTATCTTATGAAAACTATCTTTGTGAAAGAGAATTATGTTCTTTTATATATCGATACGATTAATACGTTTTATATTTTGTACTATATCTCTATTTCATATTTGAGTTCGCCATGTTTTGGTCTACTCTACATTTTTCAAGAAGTATCATAACATCAATCTTGTTAATGCCTTACCTTTCGCATGTAATGCGTACATCTTTGTCTTCATATCCACCTTAATTTTGTTGGATACAATAAAATTGTTATTAGACCTTGAAAAAGCGTTTTAAAAAAATGGATCTTTTACAATGAAATGTAAAGTAATATATGACAGTATTTCTGAAATCAATAGTATTTTATTAAACATGTTGTGTTGTTTCATTAAGATTGTTATTAAATTAATAATATTATTTTCATTTAGACTGCTGCTAAACATACTGCTGCTACATTTTTTTGTGAAAAAATTTTTTTTCAACAATTCAACAAAAAGAAATTTTTTTACAAAAAAAAATGAAAATAATATTATTAATTTAATAACAATCTTAATGAAACAACACAACATGTTTAATAAAATACTATTGATTTCAGAAATACCGTCATTGAATTAGCAAAATTATTTTCAATTAGACTACTATTATAACTAATGCTGTTAACACGTCATTTTTTCCTGTGCATGTTTTTATGAAACGATCGAAACATCTGCATCTTTTCTTGATGCAGAATTAGTGAAGAGATGCGTGAAATGCTACAGACTTGTTCACACACTTTATACGTAAATATTAATTTATTTATTGCTGCACAACCAACTAGGACTTCTCGTTAAAGGTCAGACATCTTCCACTAACATATTCAAAATGCAATAGTAATTGTATATCAGAAGACGTCCGCGCAGTAGAACGTGAGTATCTGTTTGTACATCGATCACCGTTACAAACTATAAATTATTCATATGTGACAACCATAATTAACGTATGCTAACGAAGTGGTTGTACCGTTCAGAGACAAATCGTTCTTCGGATAAACGCGGACGTCGCGAAACATAATACTTAATAACGCATTGATCGCTGAATCATTAAAAAAAAAAAAAAAAAAAAAAACTGACACAAAAAATTTGAGTTCGATTCGCTCAGAAATTCGTTCGACACGATAAAAGTAAGTAGAGAATTAAAAACACAAAATATATCGCAAGTAAAATGGTACGACCACTTGATTGCTTTCTCAACGTTTGCTTACATACGCATATAATTAGTCGCTTATTGTATATACACCCATGGGTACAACTCGGAGCTTCAGTCACGCGTTTAATCTTAGATTCGCAATTCACTCCGATCAATAACGATAGCGAGCGTCGCTTATGGCGTTTCCGTGCGGGATCCGTTCATTCGACACATTACCGCGAGATAATTAACATAAAGCTTCAGAAAATATTCTCATCAGAGATCGAATTCACAAACGCGGTTTCAACCAATTTTTATGAAACTTATCTCTATTAATCGCTCGCGGAGGCGATTATTAAAACCACGTCCTGGTCGGAAACGCCGTTAAACATGTAACAGGTATCCAAAAGGTAGTCAGTCTGTTTAGTTTAGAGTAGAGTAGAAAAGAGTACATATGTGTGTTCGTGGTCCATGAAAGTGGAAACTTCTCCGTCAGCCAACACGTACCTTATCCCGCCTCTCTGAATCATTCTAGTACGATTCTTGGGCTGATCAAAGAAGCGCTCGTCCTTGTCTCTTTTTAGAATAGAAAATCGATCGAGGAGACGGGCGAATGTTTTGATCAATCCAAGTATATTCCTTCTATAGGAATTAAATACAGCAACAGAATGAAAAGAGCAACGAGCTAATGCTGTGTGAAACTAATCGAGCGAGAACTTATAAGTAAGAAGAAGGAAGAAATTCGCGAAGAGCCTTCGATATAATCAGATTGATTGGAAGTTCAGGCTATCGTTAACGACACTGATAGACATAAGATGCAACGCAAAGATGAAATTGTCGATATGAGTAGGCGAAGAACACTAATGTTTGTTATCGGGTTTGACTAGGTACGAATAATCCTACTAATTCCCGACGCAGAAATCGAAATGCGAAACGGCTTCTTTGACACGGCTTGCGTAAACTTACCGTAAATCCTTATAATACATAACATCGACGAATAAAGATACAAATAGACAGACACTAACTTAGTAACAACAATTAATTACCTAACACTCAGTCCCAGAAATTCACGATATCTTTCCTCTGTCATCTAACATTCTGATCTTGACATTCTCTTGACAGGACTTCTTGGATTCGCAATAAAAATAGACATCCTCATCCTGATCTCTGATTAACCATATTAAATGGCTTGACGTTAATAATATTAAAAAAATAAATTATACTAATTAGAGATTGATAAACAGAGAGTCATTTGTGTTTATCTAAAAATAAAAGCGATATTCCAGAAACTTGTGGAAGAAATTATTAACAGAGGAAAGATGCGAAATGCCCAGGACATACATAGTCTTGCATTCACACTGGTTTAGATTATAACAATATGCTCAATATATATATAAACGCAACATACATATACATATAACCGAATAACGATTTTTATTTGTGCTACCATTTTTCAGTCCTACATTCTTCTTGCCCTCCTCTCCACCGCGACTTTTCCTCTTATCACTTTTCTTCTATCGATATGACGTAGAAAAACGTCTTATTTCGCCCATCGATCGGCGATATCACGCTCGACTAACAATCGTCGCGATGGACATTTTCTACGAAAGGTACAAGTTTGCTCCTTCAACGGGATATCAATGGAAGAAACGCGAGTAATCGCCAAATTAATCGCGTTCCGAAAGGCGTTTCGTGGTCTTGACAGTCTAAGAACATTAATGATAAAAAAGATCGAGTAACGGTACACGTACACATCCATTTGACATCCTTGAGCACTGGCGCGAATAGGTGTGAAACTTTTATAAAAAATTAACATGTATTATAAAATAACAACCAGCATATACATATCTAATAAAGACACAACTCTCAATTTATAAACATCATGTATATTATTAATTTACTCATTAATAAAATTCTATTAATCAAATATTTGTCCTTTTTCATTAATAACATGTTTAAAAAAACAAGATATTCTTTTATATGTGTTCTTTTTCCACCTCAAGTCTAAACTAGTGCATAAATTAAAGTGAGACAGGTATAGTTTGTTTTTTAACTTATTACACCAGTTCAGAACTAATTGAGAATACTTCGAAAAAAAAATAGACTATGATCTTCAATATGATAACTGGAAGATTAGTCATATTCTTTGTTAACGTCACGAAAGTGCGCGCCAGTGTTTAAGGATTAATTAACAATCGAACAGCAATCTCTCGCAATACGGGATAAATCTGAAAAAGGACGTAAATGCGAGAGAGGAAGAGAGATCCGTAGTGGATAATACGCCACAATTGTTGAACGTCCGAAGACTGACATCGACACTGACGAGTATAAACATTATTGATATAAGTACGGCACATAGAAGAATATTTTCTTTTCTCCCCTACACCAGACAAGAATGTGATAAGGATCCCATAGAGCAAGGCGTTTTTAATTATCAGTAATCCTGAATGCTCGATTATCTAAAACAGATATCGTTCGAACTGTCATCCCAAAAAGCTACGAGCATTTCGTTCGTAATTGAACATTCAACTGAATATCCCAAGTTCCACTCAACTCGCAACAATCCTATATTCGTTTTTTTTCATAGCATTCTTTGATCGAATTATAGAATTTATAGCTTTGCCATACGCAATAACAACTATTATAGTCAACAACTAATAAAGATCGCAATGCACGACCGGATCACGTTAGAAATTATTTGATTACAACAAAGTATAGCATTATAGGTATTTCCCAATAAGAGTATAGGATGTTTCGTGTAACATTTTCAAAGAACTTCACCCACAAATTCTTCAAAAGTTTTGCAAGCCAACTTTCCTTTAGCAAAACTTTGATCGCAGTCCTCTTTCCTGACTTCATATAATTTCTGTATTTTAGCATTAAAAAAAATAAAGATATTTAATTAAAAATTAAAATGTCAATGTCTCATATAAAAATGTGCTTCTAAATATTTGTAATTTTAAAATTAAAATTTAAATTCAATAGTCTCTATTTTTTAACTTTTTTAATTTGTTATTTGCGCGAACTTTATAATCGATTCTTACATACTTTTTCCATTATTAATTTATTCTAATTTTAAGTTTAAATATAAACTTTAAAACTAGAATTTCCATATTATAATTCTTAATTTAAAAGAATTTCACATTATAATTCTTAATTTAAAATTTTATTAAATAAGATCCTCAAATTAAAAAAAAAAGAGTAATTTTTTATCTATTTCGTAAAATTGATAGCTCGTTTTCATAATTAAAAAAATCGTGTTTATATTTCAGCGTTCCGCGTTAAGAAAAAAATCTATGTTACGAGTTCGAAGGCGAAGTTCTTGTCGTCGAAACATTCCATGGAAAAATGTCTAACAAATATCTCAACACGCGGGAACAATCGAGAGATTTATTTACACCACCCTGGAATCCATGGGAGCTTTGTCTGGCTCGTCTACAGATAAATTTGTTTATATATAATATATGTATATATTTATATATGTATAGTATATATATCTTTTTTTCTCAATATGTTATGTATATGGATAATAAATAGTACTTTGTTTTCTGGCACATTGTCGGCACTCCCATCGGAGGAGAACGCATATAGATATAGATATATGTAAATCAACTAGTCTAACAACATCATCGTCTACACGCGCGCGCAGATGTGCGTGTCTCGGAATTAGAGAGCTTTCAGGAAAGACATTATTGTTCTAGTCGTAGTTACTCGTGGAGGAGCTACATAAGAAAGCGGGATGGATCCGCTCGTAGATAAGATTGTTTGAAAAATAACATACTTCATTATTATTCTCACGGGGGAGGATCGATCACTTTATCGCGCCGTGTTAATCGCAACGAATTATGTCCTAGTTTGTTTTACACACAATCTTACTCAACACAAATATATAGATGCACGTGTGTATGGGGTATCCCGTGTCTATCCGCGCGAATATCGTCGCGGATTCACAACAGCGCGAGTAATCTCGGCGATATTCACACAGACCGCTCTATCTGTCTCTCTCGTTTTTTCGCGAAAGTGACGCGTTTACTTATCGATTTACAGATTTGATTAAAGAATATATTTAAATATATATATGTATACGTGTATCATAGAGCTATATATATAAAATGTATTCAGTCTGAAGTGTGTAAAGCGATCGTACGCGATCTAAAAGAATTAGAAAAAGTTTTCTTCCCCTTTTTTTGTTTCTCCGAAATAACTTACAATCATTGGTGACGACTTATCATCATAGATACAACAGCACCGGTGGCACGTAGAACGGCGACAGCGTTATTGTGATCTGACTTGGTGAAGTCGATGCCGTCTACCTCTAGGATCTTGTCTCCCGGTCGAAGAGTCCCCTGAGCTGGTCCGTCGGGATTCACCTTCGTCACAATTATTCCCTGCGACAAAAAGATTATGTACTCTTTCATGTGTCTCTTAATACGAATAAAATTCAAATTAAATTACATGAGTAACACATACAGTCTCTGCACCCGCTACCCCGCCAGCTATACTGAAACCGAGACCTGGATTCTTCTTCACTTGAACAGGCAGCTGCAAAATAATGTAAGTACCAAAATTAGAAAAATCATTATATATCCATAACTATTACAACTTGAATTTTATTTTTAATAGACAAATTTAATAGAAAGTTATAAATTTCCTTATTTTTAACACAAGTATAATTTCCAAATTAATCTTTAATCTTCTTGAGTATTTAAATTTGTTAAAATTCTACTTTTCTATTTTTATTTCCTACATATATTTTTATGGCGTTCTCCTGCAGTATGCTATCTAAAAATTATTTATATAAAAATGACACCGCATTTTTCAGTGTATCCTATACAAAACAAAGCAACATTGTAGCGACGTTGCAATATTTGCAATATTATTATATTGTTTATGCTGGGACTCCGTTCTCCATATTTTTCTCGCAAACCAGTCTACCTACCACATTCGCGTTTTTGTGAGGGCCAAACATCCACTTGAATTTCGGCTTCCTCTCCGAGCTCGGCGTCTCGTTCGACGCAGGACTCGTATGCTCCTTGAAGTTCTCGGTGTTGAAGTTTGTGTCGCCTTGAGACTTGCCATTCGTACTATGATTCGATATGTCTCGGCTAGAGTTGTTTTCGCTCTTAGCGACAATGGTAGCGGGAGAAGAGACGCTGAATGCATCGACAACGTTCTGGTTTGTTTGAACGGGAGCGTTCATCCGATCAATGTTCGTCGACGCGTCAGTGGGGACATTGGCATTATCGCATGGACTGTTGCTTGAGGCGTTCCCGTTCGTCAGCTTCTTCGATCGATCGAGTGGCTTCACCACTGCCGATAACGGACTGCGGTACTTCTTCCCCGTTACCGGCGATGTGGGTATTCCAGAATACATGTTCAACATTCTACTCGCGTCATAATCCTCTCTGGAGACACTCCTACTCGAGCTTGCATCGTTACCTGAGTTCTCCGTGTGTTTCGTCTTCAGAACAGGAATTTTACTCGGCCTGAGGACACGATCGCTCAGTTCGGAATCGGCGTCAGGATCAGAGATCGATGTACAATTCTGGTCCACACTGATCTGATCAAGAGAACTTATCCGCTCGTTATCCATTGGCTTGTCGTTCGAATTAACGAGATTTGTCCGGTCACTCGATGACACGGACGCGCATTCTTCAACTTTCGCCGATTCCGCGTTCGTATCCAAGTTTTTCTGTTTCGTTACATCCGGTAATGGTCCGACCGAATTTAAGAGCGAGTTGAAAGGTAACGAAGGTGGAGCCAAATGCGTATCCGTTTCGATCGCTGAAAAAAAGTGGAGATAAACGTTAAATTTTTATTTTTTCTCTTTAAACTTAAGCCTAAAAACAAAACAGCAGCATATTGATAAAAATATGTGAATAAAAGAAATATTTGCACAAAAATATTCCTGCAAAGTGTTTCTATCACATCATTTGCGTAAAATCATTCCATAAAAGTAAAGCATACTTAATCAATACTTCTTTTTTTCACCACACAGGTGGATTCACCTAACCTTGTTTTTTTTCACTTATACAATTTTACTGATATCTTTTTCTTTTAAATTTTCTTATCTCGTGTCATATTATTTTGTATTGTATTTTATATATTTTTCATATATTCTTTGTTATTTTTATTTTTTCTCTTTATTTTATATTAGAAGACTTGCCTAGAACTATAATAAATCCCATCTATCTATGATTTTGTCAATAAAATTTCTTTTCAATGTCATATAATTTTTAATTCGTTGGTTTTAATAAATAACGATAACGTACGATTATTAAACTGTTGGAAAAGAGCAGCCTTCTTGGAGAACGCTGCCGCGATGTGATATGGTGGCGGAGCTGGTGGTACGTCGCATTTCGGCGCAACAGCTACCCGCGTCTGCTCGCCGTATTTACCGTCCGTAGCGTCGACAGACATCGTCGTTCTATAGGGCTCAATGAACTTCTCGGATTCTACTATCTTTGCCGTGTTCGCCTTGGAGTACTCGTCCGGTTTCCACGTGGAGTTGACGTAATCGGCCACCGTAGGCGCTTTCGTGACGTAATCGGACGTGGGATTGCGGATGTACTTGGCCTCCCGGATGTCCGGGCTTTTTTCCTTCGCTAGTACGGTCTTGTTTGCCTCGTCGGACGATTCCTCGGATACCGAGTGCTCTGCCGCTCCGGGATCGACCGGTCTGTTGTTCTTGCTATAATTCTTCGCTGTGTGACGATCGACAGAGGTTGTAGACAAAGGTACGTTCTATCGAAAACATGATTTATTAGTACCATAAAATTAAACGCACAATTCTTTTAACATGTCTTATTTATTTATTTATTTATTTAAGTAGAAGTTTATTATTTAATGTTTTAAGAAAAAATTTAACATAAAATCTAATATTGTATTACATAATTATTAAGTTAAAAAAATAATATACATAACAGTATAAAGCTTAAAATTTTAATATTTATTCAAGAAAATATATTAAGTCTATTCACTAAAATATTTCAAAATCCTCAAGTTCAAAATAAAAATGCATGAGACAAAGTTGCTCAATTACTAATAGCGAATTCGATTGAGCGCACTCAGTGCGCACTGGTGGACATTAAAGCCGTCATACACGAAATAACGTAAAGATGTTTATACATAAACATAAAAATCAATTAAATCCTGAAATACTCAATACATTTTGTGCTGTTAGATAAAATATGTATTCTATAATTCGAAATATTTGCATTTCACTTTTGTACTCAAATTAAATCAATGTACAATGGTGTTAATATGCATCAGTGCGCACTAGTTCTTCCAATCGAATTCGCCATAAGAAGAAAGAAAATGGTGACTTCGTTGACTTTAAAAAGATTACTTTAAAATCAGGTCAAAGTTTAAATTTTTTTAAGTTGCTTTTTTATTTTAAATTCATGCGACTAACTTAAACATAAGGATTTTGAGATATTTTAATTAATTATATAATGAAAAATATCATATATCATAAATGTATTTATGGCAAAACAACTGTATTATAAAAAAAAAGTGTGTTATGTAAAAGAGCAACAAATGCTTACTCTTTGATCATGAATGGACTGATGATGCAGATTACGAGCATGCCTAGCGAGATTGCGTAGCTCCTTGGGGTAAGGGGTCGGTGCTCGATGAAGTTGCCTGGGGACTTCGGAATCTACCTCAGCAGCGAAACATATTCTTTTGCCGTTTCCGATGATCGAACTCGAAATCGGTCCTGCGGTTTGTGCTATTTCTAAAATTGAAATTATAAATATTACTACACAAAGATGCGATTAATGCAAAAAGAAAATATATCTAGAGTAAAATACTGACGAATGTGCGCAATGTTTTTCAACGGAGGTATTATTCCATGTCATTTTCTTAATATCTTACCATTTCATTCTTCTTCTTCCTGTCCCTCTTCTACTAGCAGCGTAAATAAATTTCGCATTTTTATTGTTAATTGAAGATGTGCATAAGCCTGATAAAGCGTGTTTTTTATTTGCAATAGTGTAAACTGAGACAAGCAAGAAACTGTTTTTTATTAGTTTAGATATAAACAAAGAAATATTAAAGAATATATAAATAAAGTTATGTTAAAGGAAGAAATGCAAATATTGTTTCGTAAGTTAGTGAAGATCTCCAAGCTATTATTTGTGAAGTGAAATTTGTAAAGAGAGATTAATTGAAACTGAAGTATCAAATAAATTAAACAAAACTATATATTAAAAATGGAAATAATAGGCACTTACGCTCTAAGTCTTGCCGCGGTTTCTGTGGCAGCATAAAGCAGCTCAATACCATCATGTCCTCCTCGCAATTGAACTCCTGCTGCAACGGCACTAATGGTTGGCTTTGATTGTCGCTCAGCCACAATGCTTTCAGGTTACTGAGATTCAGCATGGAGACTGGAAGAAACTTGATGCAGTTGTTGACGAGATTAAGCACTCGCAGCGAGGACAAATGACCCAATTCGGGCGGCACCCGCGTCAGATTGTTCGATCGCAAAGAGAGCAGAGATAACGACGTGCAGCTGCCAATCTCTGCGGGCAACGCGCGCAGATAATTATTGTCTGCGTTGAGACAGTGCAGCTTGCGTAGCAAGCCGATCGAAGACGGCAAGTACTCGAGAAAGTTCTTAGTGATTATAAGCTCCTCTAAGCTCGACATCTGGCCGATGTCGTTCGGCAGTGCGTTCAATTGATTGTCATCGATCTTGAGAGTGACGATCGTGCGCAGATAGCATAACGTGTCAGGCAGTTCGTACATCTCGTTCGAGGACAGATTCATGATCCCGATGTCACGCCAGCCGCGTATCTCCATAGGGAGTGCGTGTATAGCGTTCATCGTGCAGTCGAAGTGGTTCAAGCGGTAGAGCTGCTCGACATTTGCCGGAACACGCCTGATGTCGTTACCATCGATCCATAGTTCCGTGAGATTGATGAGATCTCCAACAACTTCAGGCTGAAAACAATAATATAAATATATAATACATACATAACACATATAACTCTCTACTAGAGATACAAAAATACCATAAAATTCAATCTTACAATTACTTACGATAAAATTGCGGTAAAGTGGTAATTTATTGGTAATTTTGATAAAATTTGTTTCTTATAATTTTATACAAATAGACTGTTCTTTCATTCTTATGTATAAAATTTTAAAATTAGATATTTATTTATTTTTCCTATTTCTATCATTTAATTAATTATTTAATTTATTTAAAATTTAAAATTTAATAACTATGAAATTAAAATCATATAATAAATAAAATTATTTTTAATATCTTGTGAGTTTTCAAATTACGTGACCTTTGAAAATACCTTATAAAATACCTTAAATATAAGTTTATAAGGTGAATAATACAATTAACTTCTTAATTTTTAAGGACTACTGTACCTGTCACACTTTTTGTTTTAAAAATTTTAATAAAAAATTTGTTTGAAGTTTCTCTAGTTACTACATACCTATATGGTTTCATAATTATTCTATCAATATGTAATTATGTAGTATCGAAATGAAAATTGAAATTAAATAAAGTGTTTTTCAACTTTTTAACTTAATGACTAAATACTCTTAAATCAAATTTTATATACATATAATATATACTTTATTTTTATAATTTTTTTAAATTATCACTTTATCAGTCTCCATAAATTACTGACTAATTTACCATAAATTATCGAGTAAAATTTGGTCATTTTCATCTCTACCCTCTATATATACTAAAATTGAAATTAAAATTCCTGCACCGAAATCCATATAAAATTGATGGATTGAATATAACTGCTATAAATTTTCTCTATTAATTTTGATAGAAAAGAAACATGAATATTAATAAAAGTATTAATAAATGAACCAAAAAAACAAATAAAATAAATGTTTTAAAGAAAATACAATAAATTTGAATTTTTAATTTAACGATTAAATGCATAAAACTTGATGTTTATATTGAAATAAATATGTTATTTTTAAATGTATAATTTACATGTATAATTTGCTTTGTACGTTTTTTGGTCTGTTTATTGAATACCCTTCAGTGCTTTCTGAATACATATATACAACAGTATCAAAAATCATAAAGCAGTCACAAATGTTCTTTCAAAGACAACGAACGATTTTGAGACATTATTCAAATAACATTCGTTTAAAAACATGAGTAAATTAAAAAATGATTATGACTTAATGAAAGATGCGTTCTTACTAGTTCCGTGAAGTCATTGTTGCCAATATCGAGCCTCTGCAAATTTACCAGACGGCTCATACTCTTAGGCAACGTCATCATGTTGTTCTCCCGCAGCTCGAGTGTCCTCAAGGCTGATAGTCGTCCAAAGTTAGCCGGCAAATATTCTATGTATGCGTCATTTATGTAGAGCTCGCGCAAGCCGACGATATGTGTTATAGCGTCCGGGAAACGTTCAAAAGGATTGACACTGATATCTATCGAGCGGAGACTTTTGCACTCCTTTATGCTGTCTGGTAACTCCTTTATACCTACAATAGAAGTACATATCTATACAATCAAATATAAGTACAGTTAATCTATATCGATCATAAAGAAACCTCGTCAATCAATAAAATTGTACCATAAAGCTTTTAGAATATTGTTTTCTTTTTAGGAGTCATATCGTCGATACAAATGTCGTTTTATTCTTCTCTAACATTTGATGAATAACAAAGATCTAAAGGCATTTGTGTCTCCTAAAAGGAAAGCAGGCTACATCTCGCATGCGACAAAAATTGAAGATGTATTTACTGTTCTTGCTGAGGTCTAAGTATTCCAGGTTGATCAACGATGCTATGGCAGGTGGCAACGTAGCGATTTCATTATCGCTAAGCGACAATACTCTCAATTCGTGGCACTGAAATAGCGGTCTGGGAAGATCTCTTATCTGAAGAAGAACGAAAAGAAATAAGAAATGTTGAGTGTGTTGTCATAATAATTGCTTTTCATTTTCACACATAATATTGAGTAATATTGAGTCTAAAGTATAGTGTTTTATGCTCAAATAATAATATCCCTACTTTCTTACTTTGGTGACAAAGTTATCGCATAACAAGGTTTATAAACCTTATGTTTAAAGTGAGTTAATAAGATTCAGTAAAATATACGGCCTTGAATTCATGTAGACTGTAGGTAAAAAACTCAGTTGAGTCTCATTTGTCAGAATAAAAAGGAATTCAATCGAGTTATAAATGAGACATTATCAATGAGAATTATCTGAGCTTTAGTGTACATAGCAAGCAATTAATTATACGATACAATCGACAGGAGATTGGCTCTAAGAAGATGAACGCAGCACTCACTCTATTGGCGTCGAGATACAACTTTTCCAACGTTCTTTCGTAAATGAACACATCGGGTGGTACATCATAGAGATTACAATGATTCAGCTGTAGCTCGCAGACGTCTTCTTCCTGAGCTCTCAGACACGCGGCGCACTGCCACCAAGAGCTACCCATTTCATGTGTGTAAAACTGGAAACGACACAGTCACACATGACATTAATTCTAATAATTCACATATTTCTTAACTATAATAAATTATGTTAGTTAATTAATTTATATAATTTAGTAGTTCAACTTTTAATATATTACAAGCACAAATCAAATAAAACTTTAACAAAACTCCGACACAAATTCAACACCATAACATTATTTTTAAAGAATTACAAATTTAAATCGACATTCCACACATATCTCTCTATTTTTATAGAAAGTCTTTTAACTTGTCATCCAATAAACTTGTTTGTTTAATTATGTATTAAAACTTTTTTAAATTTTTTAATCTAATTTTTCAATTTCACTTTCATTATTCATAATAAATTATTATTACAACTCATTTAGTAATGATGATTCAGATTAGCAATGATAATTATTCAATCATACCTAATTAAATAAGTGATTATTTAATAATAATTTACTTGATATTCAAATTAATTGAATTATTAGATAATACTAATTGGAATGTCAAACAAATTATGTATAATTATATATAATCATCATTTAAACATGTATTACAAATATTTATATTAAATATTTATATTAATAATAATTATTTAAATAATTTTTATTACAAATCATACTTTTTTTACACCAAATGTATACCCATTATATTAATCACAACAAATAAATTATATCAC